GCAAACAAGAGACTGACAACCAAATGAAAAAAAAACCTCCCTGGCGAAGTTAATTAATGTGCAGTAGATGAACTGATTGAGGGTTCATCAAACATACCTTGAGATAAAAGTGAAATGTCTTAAAATGTAATCCTGACCAGTGTTTCCCTGCCCCCCCCCACCCTCAGATCCACCTCCAGTTCCCCATGGAGTTTGAGTTCAGTCAGTACTACCTGAAGTTCTTGGCCTACCACTACGTGTCCAACCGCTTCCGCACCTTCCTGCTCGACTCAGACTACGAACGCATCGAGCTGGGTAACTACTCACGGAGCCTAAGGGCCGTTGACCTGAAAAGCTGCTGTCCTGAGTCAAGGAGTCATAGAAACACTTTGAGTCGCTGTGTGTGTGTTTGTGTTTGTGCAGGAGTCCTGTATGAGGAGAAAGGTGAGAGGAAAAGCCCTCAGGTGTGTAAATCTGTGTGGGACTACATCGACAGACTCAACAAGAAAACACCCATCTTCTTCAACTACATGTACTGTCCTGAGGATTACGAGGTGAGTCCCTGCACAGACACACAGCAGCTGAGAAACGAAGACGCTTTCTCATGTGATGTAATGTCTCGAATGAAGGCAACAGACTGCAGCAGCTGGAAGAACAGACATTCTGAATGTTTAGTATGTTGATCACTGAAGCAACAAAGCAGACTCACAGTAAATGTGTGTTGCAGGTGCTGCGGCCGTACACCTACACCTCCAACCTGAAGGTGTGGGACTATTACATGGAGGAGACTCTGTCGGAGGGGCCGTCCTACGACTGGGAGGCGAGGGGCCGGCAGGAGCGCGTGGCAGAGGAGACGCCGGAGAAGCCCGACACCAGCGGGCCCAAGTCGCAGCGGCACATCGTGTGGCCGTGTTACGACAGCCTGAGCAAGACGGTGCCCGACGCCATCACCAAGCTGCTGCAGGACCTGCAGAGTCTGGAGGCGGAGCTCGGTCAAACGTCAGAGAAGTGGAAGGACACGTGGGATAAAATCAAGACCACGCAGAGGGCGGAGATCAAACTGGAGAGCAAGGTGACGCTGGTTTAATTTTACTCAGCTAAAAAGATCTTTTTTGTGTTGTTACAGAACCACAGTTAATAAAGTTCAAGTGTTGCATTCATGTGCAGTCTGGAAAATCTCATCACTAATCAGAAGGTAGACGGTGAATGTATCTCTGAGGTCTTGGATTTCAGAGCTGACAAAATGTGCGTTAAGGAGAAATGTTGTCGTGTGTGGTCAGTGTTCGACTCAGTCAAATTTACCTCCAAAGACTTTAGTGGTAGCTACACTACACTGATAAATGATCATTATCAAGCATGAGAGCCTGACACATTTATCAGTTCACTCATAAAATTGATATGAGCCATTCACTGACCTGATCTTATCTGTGTTTATGTTTGCTGGAATTAGCAATGCAATAAAGATGACAATTTATGTTTTTTACGTTTATTTACTGAATTCAAGTTCTCTATTCAGCTGCATTTGTGTTTTCTTTCTATTTCTCATTATTTATAATAACGTTTCTGGTTAAACTGTAAAATATCAAGCCTGAATTACATTTCTTTGTCGTGAGGGCTTGATAATGTCATCGTGAAATCGTTATCATTTACACAATATTTATACATTTTTTACTCTCTAATTTAGTATCAGCATCAACCACCAAAAATCCATATTGGTCTAATTTTGACGAGCATCATCAGAATTACGCAACTGTGTTTCTAAAATATTTACTCTGATTTATTTTTACAGGGTTGTTACAATAAATGTTAAATCATAAAAAACATTTCACAGAATAGTTTTTATTAATCTAATTAAGACAAATATACACGGAGGGCAGACTCAGCGGCAGTTCATGAGGGTTTCTGTCTCTGTTTCTCTTTAAACTCTGATAAACACTCAGTAAAGCAGCTCTGCTCCGGTCAGACCACTACAGATCTGTAATCAGTCTGTGGAACAAGGACAAAACCAAAGTGAAATTACCTGTGAACAGATATTTTACGGTTTAGTACTTAACTCTGAACTGTCCTTCAGTGAACACTGAAATATTCAGTATGTTCTCTGACAAGTGATTCAGCTGCTTGACCGGTGAAGTGAACAGATGAAGATAAATAGCAGCTCGTGTTTTGTACTGACATCTCATGGTGACGAGGGAGAATGCAGCTGAGGTCTGAAATAGTAAACGGGCTGTTCCACACTGTACATGAACATTCTTACAGAGATCACTACATGCAGCAATTGTTTCTATAACATACAAAGTTGACACAGCTGTCTGAAGCAACAGTTTCTTGCCCAAGGACACTTTGGAATCGAACCTATGACCTTCTGGTTAGTGAATGACCTGCTCAACTTGCCGAGCCACAGCTGCCCCAGAAAAGCACCATACCACTAGAGCAGGTCATCCACTAATAAGAAGGTCGGTGGTTCGATCCCCAGCTCCTAAACTCAGTGTTCCAAAGTGTCCATGGAGACAAGACACTGAACTGAAAATCTTTATATTGACACAAAGCATTTAGTGACTGAAGTCATTGGTTTGTTTTCATTTACTTTCTCTCTTATGTGAACTAACTGATGTGGATTGTGACTGCTTGGTAATAAGTGTGACTGGATTCTCTGATGTGACGCTCTGAAAACTCACAGCCCTCCCGTCTCTCCTCCTCCACAGCCATCGTTCACCAGCTCCCTGCTCATGTCGTCCAACCTGAGCCACCAGCGGCGTTCTCAGGGCGTCTACCTGCAGGAGAGCGGCGTGGGGTCTTCCATCAACCTGGCTCTGGACTGCGAGGCCAGCGCCACCTCCACGCCTGTCGCCGGTCGGCCGAGCACCAGCACCCTCTACAGCCAGTTCCAGAGCACGGAGAGCGAGAACAGGTCTGTAGCCACCACCACTGACACTGAGTGAGATTTGTAGAGGGGTCTGGTTCATCCCTAAAAATGTCCAATGTCTTTTTTTTCAGGAGTTTTGAAGGCATTTTGTACAAGAAAGGGGCATTATTGAAACCATGGAAACCACGGTGGTTTGTCCTGGACAAGACTAAACATCAGGTGGGAGGACCTGAAAATGAATACGTGAGAAAGGTTTGGAGAATGATTTGTCCGCACCTCCGTGTCTAACAACGCGTCTCTGTCCCCAGCTGAGATACTACGAGAGCCGGCAGGACAAGGAGTGTAAAGGTGTGATCGAGCTGGCTGATGTGGAGTCCGTCATGCCAGGAACGCCCACCATGGGAGCGCCGAAAAACATCGACGAGAAAGCCTTCTTTGATGTGAGTCACTTCCACAGAAAACCAAACTCACCCATTATTTTCTCACTACACTGTAATCAAGGTGTCTGTGTCTTCAATGGAATCATTTGAATTTAAGGCCTTAAATTCTCAAGTATGTTAAAATATTATGTACCAGGTCTCAGAAACATTTAGGTAGATGTTACGGTCATTTAACGCTTCTTCAGTCACACTTCAAAATGTGTTGGCAGCATTTAGACTTTGTAACGTCTCCGTGTGTTGGAGTTCTTCCTCAACGATACACATATTAGCACGCTGTGTTAGAACTACAAACAAGACCAGCATGCAACTGATAATGGATGAGAAATTAAAACTAAAACCTCGTCAGGTCAGAATTGATCTCAACTTGTCTGTAGGTAAGACGTATGGATACGTCCTGTCTCTGTCTGTAGTTTAAGAGATAACTTGGTGTTTCAGGGTTGTTCTCTCCTCAGCTCCTTCACATTATCTTCAGTTATGGGGACGTGTAAGTAATTGTGGGACCATGGTTTTCCTTCGTATCTGTAGTACTTGACATGGGTCCTAAATTTAGTTCTTTATGATCTTAATAAGGTCTTAAATTCAACTTGTTCAAACCTTGGTGGTGGGTGGCCACTTTCTCATTAACAGTAGACAAGTTTGCTTTTCCTATTGAATCCCACTCGACATCCTGAATCCACAAGGAAACAGAAAGCATAGAAGCCACTGCCTGTTACGGCAGGATTTCATTTCTTCAACTTCATTTTTGTCACCTTTATCTTTTACCTCTTTATAATCCACACCGACTCAATCGTGTTTCGAGCGCTGCTGGTGTTATGTTTCCCCCTGTCTCAGTCATCAGCGGTCCAGGGTCTCACAAGGTCAGACTCCAGCTCAAGTATCGGTTCAAACTGGAAGTGTTTGTGCAGTTGAGCTTTTATTTTTTGTTTCAACACGTTCAGTTTGAGTAGGTTTATGTCAACACTGAATGAACTGTTTGTCTGTATGTTGAGAGTTAGCAGATCAGATTAAATCAAGGTGGCTGTGCCTCAGTATGTAAACTCGAGAGCAAAACAAAGTAAGTAACAATGACCCAGCAGAGAACGCACCTCCACCAAGGACCAGCAGTCCCCTTACGAAGCCACATTTAAATTCATTAGATCCACATTTTTATTTGGATCTGCAGCAAATTGCAAACCCTTAGAAACAATGTCGAAAAAGATCCATCCCTTGATTTAGATCTCCACCAAAACTTCTAAAGTTTTGTGGAAATCTCTTCAATTGTCTCGGTGGGATCCTGCTGACAAACAAACGCACACAGATGAAAACATGAACTGTTTGGCGAAGGTAACGTTGACATGTTCCTTTTGTTTTGCAGCTCAAGACGACCAAACGAGTGTATAACTTCTGTGCCCAGGACAGCGCGAACGCACAGCTGTGGATGGACAGTGTTCAGAGCTGCTTGTCGGACGCCTAGAGCAGAAGCAGGACTCTTAAACGAGCAATGCACCCAGGAACGAATGAGCAGCGCTGCGGCACCTGGCGGACGTCGCTCTGCCAGCCGATCCCAGTGAAACGAAGGGGAAGGGGCCTTTCACCACTTAAGCTCTGTTCTGTTCGCTAGTGTTGAACTAATAACCTCGCGTCACAACGTTTCAGTGTTTTTGTTATAAAAAAAAAAATATAAGAAAAAGGACAAAAAAAAAAACCAACCCAGAAGAACCACTTGCTGTCGTCTCACCAAGTAGCTGCAGCCTCGCACCTCCCTGACAGGCTGACCACTATGTGCGCTGGATGTCTGTGTGCACAAAAGCATATTCGAGCACGTCGTTGCATCTCTGCGAGGCGCCCTGCAGCTGGGAGCAGCATGATGATGTTTCCAGGCCCTCCACCTTTAAACCACAACCTCTCCCTCCTACTAACCCTGCGCACCCTTTAAAGACACTCCGGGGGAGGAATGACGGAGCAGCAGCAGCAGCAGCAGCAGCAGCGGCGGCGGTGGTGGTCGCCCATCACACAACCGGTGAGACCACTCAGGAGAAGTGTAGAAGATTGACTGATGGGTTGACGGACCAAAAATAACCCAGAGGAACAAACGCTCTTTTCTTCCGGTCCTCAGGGGTCTGTGCTCTCTCTCTCTCTGCCCCTCACTGCCCGATGTAGCCGATGTCTTTACAAGTCGTAGAGAAGTGGACTGTGTCGATGCAGCTGGGGGAAAGGAGAGGGAGGGACGCCTCAACGGATCATGAAGGATTTTTTCCTATTTTTCTTTTCTTTCTTTTTTTCTAAAAATCCCAAATTTGTACCAGAGCGACGTGGATGCCCGTCGCCTGTCCCCGGCAGACGACGGTGACGTTATACTGTGAAAGCCATGAATCAGTCGTAGAGAACAAAACCAGTGGAGCCAGCGGGAGATTAGAATCAGTCAGGTATTGTGAGTGTGTCGGTGAACTCTTCACTCCGAGTGTTTACAAAATCTTCCCATCACTCTGCTCTTCACGCCTCTTTCTTTTTTGACAACCACTAACAACATTCGGATTTTTAAGGAATGCAGAAGGAAACAGTGATTTTTGAAGTGATGCCTTTAAATGTGAGAGGGATCTGGAAGGAACTAAAGAGCAGAGCGATATTATGGGATGCTCCACAGAGTTATTACAGATTTTAAAGATGGACACTGTCCTTTACCGAGAGGATGTTAGTTACTGGGAAATGATGGTATTTTTCTTCGTCTTCTCATTATTTTGTTAATTTGATTATTTTGAAATGCCAAATGTTACAGTTGTTTGCAGAAAACGTTACAGGAAACACAATTATGACATTAAATACATGTTTTTATTAGAAAGCAGAACTTATTTCAAACACTCTCAAAAGTAATTATCCTGAGATTAGCAACTATCGCTAACTGCTTAGCTTTAATAGCCAGGACGTCCACCTGGCTCAATAAGCACTAGCTTCAACTGAAGTTAATAAACATGACAAATTTGTTCTGAAAGGTTTTGATTGTTTTCTTAAATAAGATAAGAAAGCTCTCATTTGCTCATTCAATGAATGTATGAATGAACAACTCACTGGTTTAGACCTGGAAGCAGATCACTACGCAGCTACAACAGTAAACCATCGGTTACTCTTGATTTGGAGACGAGTGTTTGAAATGATGTCTGTAGAATTCATGTGGGGAAACTTTGAGACAGTTTGAGGTGGTGGCTGCACAGTTCAGCACATTAGTGTGAGAGGAAGACCCGCGATGAAAAATCCCATCATTTCCCTTTAATAGTGTCGACGTGGAGAGTCGGGCCCCATCACCGTCTGTGTCAAACATGACTCAGCTCGGTTACGTCATTGGCCCACACGTGTGGACGCCAGTGTTTCACGTTAGCGCCCCCTACCTTCAGTGCTGGGACTTGTACATAGACGAGTTTACATCAGGTAGTTTGTAGAGAAATTGAACGTTTAGCTGGAAGCTTTCAAACATCGAGTCACTTCTTTTTTTATTTCGTCGACCTGCCCCCCCCCCTCCCACACCTTTACTCACCCTCCTCCTCACACACACACAAACCACTCACCCACCGTTAACACAAACCCTGCTCAGTAAAATATGGTTCTACTGCTGTCTTGTTGAACATAAAAATTGAAATTGTAGATTTTTTTTTTGTGTCTAATAACTCCTTTGTATATACTACTCCAGATTTGTATGTAACGTTTATGGTAGTAATTTATTTAACTTGTCTCCTCAGTAAGAAAGTTCCTGAAGCACCACTTTATTTTTAAATTAGGAATTCAATGTGCCATTTGTTTATTTCTGTATTAAT